ACTTTTGGCGGCGTTGGAGGCGTCAGTACCTCCCAATGTTCACAGTGAGGTCCAAGTGGTCACAAGAAGAACGCGACATCCAAACAGGAGATTTGGTACTGATCGCAGAGGATAACGTGCCCCGCGGTATGTGGACACTAGGCTGTGTCATTCGCCCGCTACATGGCAGTGACGGAAGAGTGCGGGCGGCAGAGATCAAAACAGCAAGTGGACATAAAACTCGGCCGGCAGTGCGACTGTATGTTCTTGAAGAATGTTCATAGGTGATTTAGTTAGAAAGGTAAACTAAATTAGGGCCGACGATGTTGAGAACAAGTCGCACTGACTTCAATGACACGCCTGTATGTGAATTGTGAATTGTGGCTATCGTGTGTATTTATTCTGCGAGTTTGGAAGTGGCATACCTTAGTATGCGAATGCTCTAGCCGTCACGCGCTTTGTTTATTTTTCATCAAAAAATGAATGAATGAAGTTCCAAAGATGTGCTCTCATGATAATCGTCCAATTAGCGCTAACTCGTATCGTATCGATCTATTACATTCGCAATCTGCAGTCTTGATATCGTCTCGTCTCGAACTCTTTTATTTGCTTTATCATCAAATATATTATTTTCATTTCATTATATTATTTCGAGTTCATACATTAAAACGATGGTCCTCCGGCGATACGTTCAAAACAGGGATGGTCTGGAGTAGAGTTCTGCACGGCTGCAATTTTCCACAGCCTAGCCGCCCCGCAGCCATGGCTCCACAGCCATAGCCGCCTACAGCCGTGCCCGTGACAAACTGTGGTCAGCCAGCCGTCAGCCGGCCGTGGATACTTTGAAATGCAACCAAATAGTATATAATAAGTTGTTTTTAGTTAAAACATATAGCCAAAAGCACATTGCAATGGGCTATAGATTCTCAAGCTCATGAAGCATCATAGGTTAAGTGGTTGCGTATCTGGCTTCAGGCCGAAGGCCTGAAGCCTGATGCGCAACGCATGCCTACACAAGCCCTTGCAAGGGGTTAAGAAAGATGGGTAAGTAGGTACATACATCAACAGAAAACATAAACAATGAACCAGAAGAGAAGCACTAGCAGTGTAGACATCTAATGCCAAATCCTGAAGCATGGTTGTGGGACAGAACAACAGACCCTGATGCTTTTCATTATCAATGTTATGGAAATGAAACTGAAATTGATGGACTGTCAAACAGTGATTGTCTAGTCAAAACTCTTGCTTCTTTCTTACCTTGCATATTTTCTGGGGTGTGATATGCCAGGCTTGAAGCAGCCCTCTGAGCAAGTCTCAAACTAATTTGATACGCAAGGCATCAAAACACCAGAGTGAGCATCAAAGAAAGAAAAACATTCATCTATTTTGATTTTTCCAATTTGATTTTCATTTTTCTTCAATCTTCGCTCAAATCACCAAGGACGTGCGAGCCACAATTGCCTCTTTCAGTCAAAAATTTTATTTGAGTTTTTAATACGTCAATAGCAAAGAACTGGCAATAATTTTTTTGTGTGTCTACAAACAGCCATAAAAATTATAATTAATAAATAATGAGGCTATACAATAATAAACCTGCTCTCAAAGAAGGATTCAGTATCAAATTTTTACATTTTTAGAAAAAGACGTCATTTTTTTAGTAAAGTCAACAGCTTGCGTAAGAAATATTGTGTTCAGGGTTTTCACCGTCATGTGAATTAGCCGTAAGTAAGGTTTATGCTCCCTTATAATCTAATTCCATTGGCTTCGTTGATCAGCATTTTCTGTTAGCGGTCACTCACATTCCAGTTAGAACATAGAGCGCCCGTTTTATATTATGTAATTGGACTTGCCGAAAATCCAGAAATACATCTAAGAGTTATTTTAATAATATTTTATGAGGTCTTTACCTGCCTTTACCTAGGCGTTATTTCTTTTTCTATTACCTGAAGGCTGAAAGAATTATTGAACGCTTGTCTTCAATAGCTGTAAGGCGCTCTCCTAATGACCAGGTGAGATTGATTTGAGAGGGATGTGACAATGCAACATGTTGCATTTTCTGAAACTGTCAAGCTCTTGATGCTGAAGGAACAATTGGCACCTATAATTAGTATTCTGTACCAGAGTGCAAACTCCTCTACGGCAAATGATAAAACCATTACAGGTTTTCAAAGGCTTCACCACTTTCAATGTTGTTGGGCATCCTTTGCATGATTTTTACAGGCTAGACTGCTGATCAGAATGTAAGATTAAGGATTTAAAATTTTATATTTGAGTACTTAAGATACAGCTTGAAATCTCACAGCCGTGGCCACAGCCGTAGCCGTGTTCTTGGAGATATTTGTAGCCACCCCGGCCCACAGCCGTGGGGCTGCAGCCAGCCACGGCTGCAGCCGGCCGGTGCAGACCTCTAGTCTGGAGAGCAATATACGTCGATACGTTGACAGAACTTCATAGAATGCCAATAAAACAGGCTGTGAAGGCCCAAAAGAGCGCCTCTCAAATACTGTGAAGGTCACTCATTGCAGCGGTTAACCGTTTCCCAGAAAACATGCGTATTACCGAGAAGAAAATGCTCGAAAGCAGGTCAGAGGCCCTGTTTCGCAGCACTGGGCGTCATCAGGCACTCTTTAAAATGTACCCGAAACTGGCACAAATACTACTTTCCTGGTTACTAGGATGAAGAGACATGGTTTAAGGACTAACCCAAGTAAAACTCATGCAAATTTTCGATTTATATTGGAATACTGATGATCTGCGACCCGGCGCCCACCCTGACTGAGCTTTCGGTGTGGCTAGAATTGGCATCTTCGCACATTTTCGTTTATTGGCTCCAGTGTTCTTTTGGAAAACATGTCATTTTGTGTTTGATTGTATGCTGAATTCAACGGCGGTTCTTGTGAGGTGTAAGTAAATAAACGGCCTCAGTACACTTAAATATATTTTATTGGATGTTAAAAAGTGTTTAAAAAATTGGGACACCCTGTACACCCACGGGTCACATAAACTACACATACTCACTTACAGGGTGTCCCATAAGTTCGTTCTCACCTAAATTTTACGTTTTTAGGCTTTCTTGCTTAAAGGCACGCTGAAATTGGTTCGTAACTGAGCTTACATGGTTGCCATGGCTGGTAGAAATATGCTCCACAGTAGCTAATTTCTGTAGACAAAATAGTTTTTGCTAGAGAGCCCGCTTCCTACAGAGACGGCTAACGCCGCAACATAGAGGTCTCCGATACGGGTACGTCTCAGCATTTAGTCAGCACGTGACCATTCGCGACGATTGAGGGTGATTGAGGCCTACCAGTCTGTAGCCAATATCCATCGCTAACTGGACGCACAGTCAGCAAGTGACGCCGATGATTTGTTGGGAGTCAATCACTGCAAGTTTATCCTCTTTCTAGCCAGCCCTCAGGAATGAGCCAAGTGGCCAAAACTGTGTGGCGTCAAAGTGGCCATCAAAAAGGTCAAAGGGTTAGAAAGTTGGTAAACAGACTTTTCAGGATGGATTACCAGCTGTCTAAGAGTGTTCTTTCGGGGTACATAACTCAAGGTGACTTAAGCTTTGCTTACCGGAGGGCACAAAACAGTCAAAAACGTCTTAAAATGGCCAAACATGAGTTTCGTTATGCCTGAGGCTAAACAAAACTAGAGGGCTGATGACATCAACCAGGTCATCTGGACTAACTAGTCCACGTTCGAGATGAAACACCCGTCCAAACCCGAAAACAACCCCATAAGGGCGAAGGAGGAGGCCTTCATTTCGTCCCGTTATGTTCCTATGCAAAAGGCCAGGGTCACTGTGTTGTGGGGTTATAGGCGTTCTGGAGTTGATCAAGTTACAAGTGGCAACCCAGAAACAGTTTTGGGAAGCAGAATGCTTTTCCAAGAACATCTAGGAGGAATTTCAGCCCTCAAGCTGAACTCGAACCGCGAGTATGAACACATTTATAGAGGAGAAAATGGCATCCGGGAGGTCGTAGGCCCATCTTCAGGCAAGACAGTGCATCAGTGCACAGGTCAAGCAAAGCTTAAAAGCGGTGCAAGGAGACTGTGACAGGCGTTTGTAGCAAGATCACATGCCAGGCACCTCATCGGATCAAAATTTCATAAAAATTTGTTGGTTATGCTGAAGTTGAGGCTCGTCGAAGCGTAGCGCTGTTCCAGCCTCGAGGAGCTCACGGCGCATGTCAAGTCAGTCTGGGTTAACTTTAAGCCTGCTCTGCAGCCAAACATGCCGGTTGGCATGCCGCAGCATGTATTCATGTGTTTGCCTATTAAATGGGGAGCACATTGAGGGGTCATAAATATACCAAAACACAATGTACTCTGTTTCACATGCAAACATAATGTGAGAACGAACTTAGGGACACCCTGTATTACTGATCTGACCTGGCCTGTTTTTTTTTGTAAGTTTTTTTTTGCTGAGCAGCTAGTAGCAAAAAAAAAACTGGAATATTTATGTGCTTCAAATGTGTCAACCAAAAATGTAGACACAATCCCGCATCACCCACTTTCATAGCAATGTTTTCTGAAGTTTGGCACCATCCCATCCTGCACATCCTTTCATGCATTTTCATTTTGCGAACTTACTTGAGGTCCATCACTATGCACTAGGACTATTATGTGCTACCTTAGCCTTTTTCTAACACCAAAAAGACTTTCAATGTAGGTGTGTTCTTTAATCGCGTTTCAGAGCCGTGCTTTCGGACAGTTAATCACACTTCTACAGCACACAAGTAAAATAATAATTAAAACAAGCACAAATAATGATTAATAGGAGCTGCGCCAGACATTTAAAAATGCCGAATGCGCAAAATATCTGTATTTTTCGGGCTGCCGGCGAAAAATCTGTTCCTGAACGAAATTTTCCGATAAGGCCGCCGCACTGCTCATGTATACGGGGCTACCCGAAACGCATTTTCCGTTCCCTGGCTGATGGGATATTTCCGTTTAGGCTGAATGACTCGTGTAAACAGGATAACTGACCGCTCCCCCCCCCCCCCCTGTCCGTCCGACAGTAAGATCGTGGAGCTAGAGGAGGAACTGCGCGTCGTCGGCAACAACCTCAAGTCGCTCGAGGTTTCCGAGGAAAAGGTGAGAGACACATGCCTTCGGCCTTAACCCTCGCCCTGGCAGTTGATGCACCCCCCCCCCCTAAGGTTTTTCGAAGATAGCGTGAAAATGGCGGCGCACAGCGCCGCCAAATTTGGCACAGCCTATGGGGCAACCTTTTTACATACGACCTGAAAATTTCAAGGTCCGGGTGACCTTGGGTCAGGTCACCAGGTCAGAAAAACCGGTACAAGGTCATGGTCAAATTTCAATTTTCTTTTTGCACCTGTCCAACTCACAGTTTTGGGCTGATTTCCTTCAAATTTTCAGGATGTGCTAAGTTCACCGAGTTGTATAACATATAGTTCGGGTTTTTTGAGGTCACTGACCTGAGGTCAGTTAGTGGTCATTACATCGTAATGTTAAGCCTATGGGAAAATACTAAATTCGGAAAATACTGGAGATTTCCGCTTTGTTCCATCACTTTTGTGCTTTGAAACCATAGTACTTAACAACAGATCACTTGATGCTTCTTTGTTTGGTGTACTTATCCATGGGTCAGGTCAAATGAGGTCAGCTGAGGTCAAATGACGTTTTTGCCAATAACTTGGCACATAATGACGCTAGAGCTTAAAAAATAGTGTCATTGTGTTTCTGATGATCAGCCGAATCGAATGATATGCGATATGATGCAATTTGGTTAACTTGAACTTAATTAATTAGTTAAAGTTTACTTAAAAAATTAAGAAAAACTTTAAGTACACTTAACCCGCGCGGGGCTGGGGGGTAAATTTTACCCCCCCTCGCGAATTTTTGCGATATCTAAAAAACGGCGGCGCGCAGCGCCGCCAAACTTTCTGTACCTTTTCTTACATCAATTTGACACGTTCCCTGAAAATTTGAGCGAAATCCGTCGGAAAATTTTTGAGAAATTGACATTTTAGTGACGTCATGTTCGCCATTTTCGCCTCAAAAACGGCAAAAGTTCAAACGCCGCTAACATCTTCATTTTTTAAGGAATCAAGACGTAACAAAAAAGGTTATACGTAATTTTACTTTGTCTATCAAATGGCTATCTCGGTTTTTTGAAAATTTTGGATTTTGGCCTAAATTTTTTTCAAAAAACTGACTTTTTTGGGAAAATCATTATAAAATCCAAAATTTTGAGTCTATCGAAAAAACCGGAATATGTCAGAGAAGTGGTCTATGTGCACCTACATACCAAATTTTAGAAGAATCGGTTCAAAAATGTGGGAGTTATTCAAAATTTTATGACGTCACGACACACAAATTTTTTGAAAAATGACTTTTTTGGAAGTTCTAGACCTCGTACGAAAACAAAAATAGCACCATTCGATTCGCCGTGAAAAACTGCATCAGATAGACACCTTTTTAGGCCTTAACAACCAACTTCAAAATTTGACCTCACTTGACCTGACCTTGACCTGACCTCGACCTGAAATTCATCCAGAGGTGGTCCATATCACTTATTGAGTGTGCCTATTGAATTCTATGAGTAAAATGACCCATAAAACATGTGTCGCACATGCCCTTTTCTATATTTTGTTTTTTGGTGACCTGACCTGACCTGACCTGACCTTGACCTTGACCTCTGAATGATATTGTATGCAACGAATATTGTCTTGGTAGCCTAAGAACACGTTTTGGGCGATCAGTCTCAGTCCATGACTCCATTCTTCGGCAACTACGGTGCAAGGCCGTTCCTGAGAAACTTGCAATTTGTACCCTTGACCTGACCTTGACCTTGATCTCAAACTTTAAATTAAGTACATGTTTTTAGTAGTTCGTGATGAGAGCTTTCGATTGGCGTTTGAATTTTCCAAATCGGACCATTAGTTCGGGAGATAACAGGGGGGGGGGGTAAAATTTACCCCCCCCCCCCCCCAGCCCCGCGCGTTCGGCTGGAGACCCCAGCCCCGCGCGGGTTAAGCAAGCAAAAAAGTATATCATTGGACTCGCCTTGACGTGCTGAGTTCACTGGTGCTTTTCTTTTTTCTCTATCTTAATTAGATCAAAAGTTATAAGCGAAAAACTTTTGACCTGTTTTTTGCGATTTTTTTCATTTATACCCCCCAAAACCCCCTAAATATTGACCTAGAGCAACCAAATTTGCACAGGGGCGAGAACTCCAGGGGGCCCACCTACCTACCAAATTTGGTGTTTCTAGGTGCCATAGGAGCCAATCGCGAGGGGGGTCGCATCCCCCCCCCGCCAGGCCGTGTTATGAAAAATGCCCTGCCAGGGCGAGGGTTAAAGGGGGATATGACCTTTTCGCACAAAACCTAAGTTAGGGTTATTTTCTGAAAGAAAACAAGAAATTAAACTGCAAATTAAAACAATTACCTATACTCACATCGGTACCTTGCCGACTGCACAATAATATGTAGAAGTGGGGTGCTTTGAAGCGGGTAGCAACCGTTCATGTGATGATTGGCGGCCACCAAATCCACCTACATGAGTATGTTTCATGATAAGTTAGTTAATAGAATTATTGCAACCAACAAGTATTTAAAATAATAAAAGTGAAGGACAATGAGATGTGTACGTTTTGCAACGTGCAAATTGAAACATTGTCACATATTTTTTGGCACTGTCCTGTGGTGCAGTCGTTTATCAATGACGTAAAAACTGGGTTGTTACGTGAATATCGAATAAATCTTAACCCTATTCCTGGCGGGCTCCGCCGGGACAAGAAACTGGCGGGGGGGGGGCTGATTCGGCCCCCCCCCCCTTCAGATCTCAAAAACTACACATCGCAGCGGCAAACGGCGAACGGCGTTTGATAGGTCGTTTAAGGATCTACAACTTTTACATAAAACATTTTCAGGTCAGGTCAATATTGAGGTCACCAGAGGTCATCAACGATAAAATGTTTTGGAATTAGTTACCTATATAACTTTTAAACTAAGAAACATAGAGACATAAAACCAATACATTTTTTGTTGCTCTCGCTGAGGCGATGCGAAATAAGTATGTGATGACCTTCACAGGTCAATTTAAAATTTGACCTGAGGTCAAGGTCAGGTCATTCATCAATGAGGTTGTGGGGTATGGTCATGCTGCATACCAAACGACGCGCCTTGACCAGGCGAGCAGTTTGGTACCACTTACAAGTCTTTAGCACCATCATGTCGTGCTTTATTGACAGAAAAAAAAAACGATTTATGACGTCACATGACCTCAGATGACCTTTGCCGGTGCCCCTGTCAATTAGCGGAACCAGGATCATCACCGATGAGATTATCTTCCATAATACTGAAAGAACTGGGTGGTTTTGACTCGTTTACACGAAGCAGGAGGCGTTTCAATATTTTCCCATAGGCTTGCAATGTAAAGGTCACGAGTCTGGCCTGACCTCAGGTCACAGATATGAAAATTCTGAGATATACAAATTGCACATACTGGTACCCTAACTAAAGCCTGAAGAGAAGAAATTGATCGGTCAAAAACTCTAGCTCTGGCGTGATTGCAAACTTTTCTGGGGTAGGGTCACCAAACCGCCTCTGGTGACCTGACCTGAGGTCAGATCAACTCAAAATTTTCAGAACTGTTGCGTAAAAGCCTTTTAGAAAAAGTCAGAAAATTTGAGCTTCCTAGCTCAAAGCGTTTGGGAGATATAACCAAAAAACCTCGGGGGGGGGGGGGGCTCCTGAGGCCCCCCCGCCAGGAATAGGGTTAAGGGTGCGTTTCACGCGACCTTTACACCACCTGGCGAGGATCTTGCTGACATAGAGATACGTTTCTAAACCAGTAGATGGCCCTAGCGCTGAACGCCGGTTTGTTGTCATAGGACAAGTATCACATTTCCCCTGTCCATCCACCTGTTAGCGTAGAGGAGTTCGACTGCCGGGCCGCCCCTCCCCATCCGCGCCCCGCGAGTTCGGAAAGGAGCGGCACGGGTCCGCCGCGCCGGTCAGGCCGGGCGGAAAGGACCAGATGTCATGCTCTCAGTCGAACCACATTGGGCCGAACCCGCGCCGACACACACGGATGGCGAAAGACCGGAAAAATGAAAGGGCTAACAGAATGAGGTACGGGAAAGCAGCTTCAGTCGCATTCATAGTGTTAGCTTCATTAATCCGCGCTGGGGGAAATTGGGCGTTTTTTGGGTCAAACTTGCAAGTTTTTTTTTGCCCGTATAAGCGCCGCGAAACTTGGCATAGTTAATCATACATCATTTTCTCATCGTGTGTGAAACTGTGGAACCCCGGTCTCAGGAGTTTAGGTCACCCAGTTCAGGTATATCCTAGATGCTCGAAACTCTGGTTATTGCATGAGCCATCAGCATGAGCTACACTGTATAGCACCGGACTATCGCATCGGAAGGCACAGAAGAATATGCTTAATAAAACACTTTCTTTGCAATTTTATCACCGCTTCAGGGCTACAGTGAATGCCCGAGTCCTTTGAGACAGATGTAACAATACACGATGTATTGTGCACGATGCAGTGCACGATGTAATAAGGCCATTGGTAGCTACAACTTGTATGCCTCGGAATCTTATCAGTTCATCCGGACTTATGTCCCCCAAGAAATCGTTCGGGTCGGAGCTTTCTAATTGTATCACAAAACGTCAGCGTGTCGTAATCGAGTTCGTGTGTATCGGTCGCAAAATTGAGGACGTTTTGCGACGGATTGGATTCCCCGTGATGAGGTACATCGAAATAGGTAACCTTTTGATGCAAAAGTATCAACTTCGAAATTTGACCTTTTTTACCAGACCTTGACCTAACCTCCACCAGAAAGTAACCTAAACCGTCCCTCATGGTTGTCTGACCAAAACCATTGCGTTGGAAATGAAAAGTTGGTCACAAAACATGCATCACACAGCCCTAGTAAAGTTTGGTTCATGTGTTGACCCTTGGTGACCTGACCTCTGTGACCTGACCTGGTATCAGTGACGTCTTTTAGCAACTATCTGTACAGGGTGTCCCAAAATTAATGTCACACCCTCACACAACCTTTGTTTTGCCTTCTACTGCGCAATATCAATATAATTTCACCGGTACTGGCTCCCAGA